TCTATCTATCTATCTATCTATCTATCTATCTATCTATCTATCTATCTATCTATCTGTCACTCTCACTTTCTCTCTCTATATTTTTTTTTCTTTCTCTCCCAATTTCTAACCCTTTGTGCATGAACATGCGCGTGCATGCGTGGGCACTCGCAATACCTCTAAATCTCGTTCTATGTCTAGCTTTCTCCAATTTTCTCTTCTTTTCGTCTCATTTTTATCTGGGGAGCATTATAACAATTACAGTCTCTCTGGAGATGGGGAAGCATCAAGACAAACACGAAGACCAGGGTTGTTTTTTTAAAATGTAAAAACGGAGTATTGTTGTATGGGTTGGAATCATGGAAACTAGACTATTAAAAAGCAGATCGTAAACAGATAACCATCCTTCACCAGTAGTTGTAATTGCAGAAGATCGTGACCTTGCGAACCAAACAACAACCGAGGTGCCCTCCATTGCGGATGGGGTCGGGTCGGGTCGGGTCGGGTCGGGTCGGGTCGGGTCTTGTTCGGGTCGGGGGGCGATCGCCCCGATCGTCGCCTGAAAAACAACGGGTTTGTTTTTTTAGGCGATCGTCGAAGAGTCGGGCGCGATTGGCTCGTGCCGCGAAAGCTGCTTTGCGCCCTCAATCTGGCTAGCAATACCGCCCCGACCCGACCTGAAAAAGAAAAGATGCCGATAGATTGGACACTTTCTAGGAAGCCAGACTACAACTACAAAAACGTGATATGACAAAAACCTAGATGGAACCCCCCAGGGGAAGAGAAAGAGAGGAAAGCCGAGATCCACGTTACCCAGGAGCGAGACCTGAGTCAGGACATGGGACACAACTGCATGGCTGGAAAGTACACGTGGAGAAGATCGCCCAGAACAGAAACAGGTTGAGATCTCGATTAATCTTGGCGGCCTATACCCAAAACCAGGGCATGAAGGAGACGAATGGTGGTGATGAATTGCTGTAGACTATCTCTCATGTCCTCAGGCTTGTCGAGGCATTGCTTTGCCACACGATTCACCCAACAATCTTTTCATCCTCAATAACCCCATTCCAGAAATAAATATATCACCATATAATTTTAATGGAAAGATATAATAATGTGAAGATTGTTCAATGGCTTTCGATAAAGTTAGATTGGCAAGCTATTAAAAATGTTGGACGAGCTTGGCATAGATGGAAGAGATCTATAACGAAGCATCAGAGATTTGTATGGGGACCAGAACATTGATGTACGAATTGATGGAGAAAACATCGATTATGCAGATCAAAATAGAGGAGTGAGGCAAGGATGTGTTGTGTCACCTGACCTCTTTAACATAATATACAGTGAAGCAATCTCAGAAATATAGAAGAATTTCCAGGTCTAAAAGTAAATGGCGAAAATATTAATAACATATCAGGTATACTTGTGACCCAGTTTTAATACTCAGATTCAGAAAAGAACCTAAAATCGTGTCTTGATACTGTTGTAACAGAAAGTGAACGTAAAGGGTTATTTTTGTGTGTGAATAAAATGGAATATATGCATGGTAATATGAAAAAAGCAGTACCCGTAAATCCTATTTTATTATGTAATCTCATCATAGGCAAAGGCGAAAAGATCAAAACAAGTTCCTAGGATTGATGGTGACAAATTATATATTCCACAGAAATAAATAAAAAATTGCAATGGCTAATAACAAGAGCCCAATTCTGAAAATAGAACATCTCAATGAGACCCAAAATGAAAGCTCTGAAATGCTATATACAGTCAATCCGTTTGTACGACTATGAACGCTGGACATGTATTAAAGATAGTGAAAATAAAACAGAAGCAACAGAATTGTGGTTTTTTTGGAGAGAATTTCTTGAAAGGAAAAGAAAGCAATATATATATAGGTAGTAGGCCTACATGTAAGCCTACTAGAAGAAAGCCCACGTGGACCGCTCAATGAAAAAAACCCCCAAACCAACAGAGACAATCGGGCAATAACAATTTACAAACACAGTCTGTGGGACACTTGGAACATCTATTATAGTTCGCACTGGCAAAATTGAAAGCAAACGAGACATGGATAGACTGCACTGGCAAAATTGAAAGCAAACGAGACATGGATAGACCCAGAGCAATCTACTTGGAGAACCTAAAAAACAGTAGTAGTTTTTTTTTTTAAGGGCATCCAAGCAAAGGATTTAATCGGAAAACCACGACCGCCGATGTCTGCCGCAGATATGTCACTTAATTAATCAATATTATACATGTGTAAGTATGTATGTATATATTATGGCCTAAAGTGGTTTCGGTAGCCAAGTGGTTAGGCTACTGGACTCGTAATCGTGAGCCTAGGTTGCGGGTTCGGGGGTTCGAGCCTCAGCTCGGTCCGACGTTTTGTCCTTGGAGGCACTTTACATGAAATTCCCATTTGGCTCAGTCCTTTCGGAGATGGACGTTAAACTCGAAGGCACCGCCTCTTAAATAACCTAAATAGTGTTGATAAAGGCCATACCATTTTATAATATATA